GTTTTTGTCTTTTTCTGGAAAGGCAGCTAATGTTGTGTTACTTTCAAGTGCCTTCATCATTTCAAATGTTAATAACTAAAGACAGCATTTTGGCTGGTATAGACTCACAACTTTGGAATGGACAAAATGCATATAGCATACATGAATGTCATTTTTTAAAATTACATTTATTGCAAACCGACGTCAGGATTTGGGTTGTGAGAGCGTCTGTGTTGAATGATGCTCACCCTGATGCCTCTGTCTTTCTAAATGGAGGGACAGTAACTGCGTGTGTTTATGTAAGCGTGTAAAAACTGCAGATACTAAGATAAACAGCAGAGCTTCTGTCACTCTAAGATATGATTAAGAACATTTTCTAATTTATGTATAATTTGTCAAATATTACAACAGCTGACAAATAGTTAAGTCTTCATTTGTTTTCCTGAATAATAGATCCACATCATCCTCTCTATGATGTAAAATATAGTCTAGATTTGCACAATGTAAAGTACATAAATACTGTCCTGGCAGGCAGGAAAATCAGGTTTTATATTTAAGTAAATGATCTTAAGTCTATAAAATGAAATTTGAGCTTACTTTAGTTCTTGGTAAATTACAGAGCAGTTAATCCTCAGGGAAATGTAGAAATTTCACTAAATAGTCGTCTTCTTTCATACGGTTGCAGTGTCTCTTCAGTTTTGTTTTCATATGCTGATGTTTTCATTCAAAACATGTTTAAATGCTGTGATGTCATTTTGTCATTTTGGCATCATAGACTGCAGAATGTACATAGATACTTTTTACGTCAAGTTGTTTGCACAGATTTTGATATCTTTTATATGGAGACAAAAAATACTTAAGACAGAAGTGAATCTAAAAAACTAAAGCAGTCAATGTGTTTTGTTTTTTTTATTCTAATAGTTACTGTAAAGTTCTACTCTAAGAGATTCATCTTGGCCTTCGTGCAGGATTAAAGCTCAATGATTAGTACACACACAAAATATAATACATTTCTTTATGATTGTTAGGCAAAAACAAAGAGAACCCAAAGCTATCAAAACATATATCCACAGTCTTATTCTTGCTCTGCTCCCTAATTTTCCCCTGGAGGCATCACTATGGCAACAAAACAACATGCATTAAATGACGTTCCAAACAACAACAACCAAACTGTTTTCAGTGCTTAATATTTAACATGTCTTCGTTATAAACTGTATTTGTACAAATCAGTGATGTTGATGTGCACAACCTGGGATTCAGACATTGGAGGGTTAATCCAAAAATTAGGTTTACATTTTTGTTCATGACAGTGCAGATTTCTGACGTTTTGTGTACTTTAAGCATTTAACAATTTGATTATTTTCTAACATAAAAACAGTGTGAAACTCAAGTTACACCTGTGTTTGTAAATGAACTGCCCCATGTTGTGTAGCTTTCTGGATTTTATACTTATTGGGCTACATGTTTATTTATTATACAGGCTATACAGTACATAACATCAAAACTCACATGTTTTATGTAACTAAAGTGTTTAATTATGTGGGCTACAGACAATAATCAAGTTATGGACTGAAAAATGTGTATATTTACTGCATTTGAATCATTTTAACCATATGTAACCACCTGCGTATGTGTTTGAAATAAAAATAGAATATTTTGGAGAGTCTCCCCTCAAAGTCAGAACACTTTGGTGTTCGGTTAAATTGTGATTTTGAATCAGTTACAGGGGTTACTGTGATCATGAATGCTTTTCTCTCTATGTGTTAACACTGTCCAGGATATACCCTTCCTGTAGCCGTATGGCAGCTTTGGTGGATGGACGGATGGATGCATAGCAGTCAGTTTTACAAATGTAACAAAGGAAAAATCGACATTTAAAATGACAACAAAAATCCACATTATATCTAAATGACCATAAAGTTTATTGTGATAAACTGTGTAATACAAGCATGTAGTTGATGCAGTAACTGGGGACACAATGTTACTAAAACAGTATAATCTCAGAAAATTGTCTCTGGCATACAGTTTGTTAATACTGAGTGGTTGTTGGAGCAGGAATCCTCAGAACCTGCAGCAAACTCCACAGGTACCGGGGTTGCAATACTTTGCAAAACTCCATATTTTCCTATGCTATGAAATTCTGGGAATGGGAAATTCCGGAGGACCGAGAAAATCTGCACTTTTCTCAGTCGGCATGAACTTTGACCTTATCTTCGGATATTTAACTATGTGGGTTTTCCCTGTCCTATTGATGCAAGCCTGTTCCCGGCAGTAGCTGCTGTACTCTAAGTGACGAGGCAGCAGTGGAGCAAATGAGTATAAATACCAGCACCTTTTCCCTCAGTCAACCATCACAAAGGAGCTGACAAGAGTCAACGAGAGAGTCAAAGGATCTGACCACCTTAAACCACTCAAACCTCCTGAAGATGAAGACGTTCAGCATTGCAGTTGCAGTTGCCGTTGCACTCATGTGTATTTGCATTCAGCAGAGCTCTGCCACATTTGCTGAGGTTACAGACTGTGTTAAATTCATGTAATGTGCTTTTTCTGCATCAATTTGTTGTGAAGATGCTAAGATCTGTTTTCTTTCTCTACAGATACGAGAATTACAAGAGCTACAAGAGGCTGTGAGCAATGACAGTCCAGCTGCTGAACATCAGGAGGTATCAGTTGACTCATGGATGGTGAGTTTAATTCAATAAATGAATGAAGACAGTAATTGTGAGATCTCTCAAATGCAGGAAGATGTTTAAAATAAACTTTGCACTCACAGCTTTACGTAAAATTAGAGAGAATGAAGTGACTTGCAGCTGAAGATAAACTCTCTGCTCTTCTCCTCTTTCACACAGATGCCGTACCACAGACAGAAGCGTGGCATGAAGTGTCGCTTTTGCTGCGGCTGCTGCAATGCTGGTGTCTGTGGATTGTGCTGCAGATTCTGAGAATATCTACCTGCGATTATCACATCAACCACTAAATATTGACTGTTATACATGAAATGATTTGACTGCTCAGCATTTGTTAAAGTCTGACAGTGTTTCTTCATCTGGTCATCCTGCTGTAACAGTGAACAGTGTTCCAAGCATTTGGAACTTCAGTATGTTATTATATTAAAAGGTTTCGAGTCACTATACTGCAACATGTGCTGTCTGTTTCTGTTTCTGTCTGACAAGAATAAAACATTAATGGAAACCAGTGACATGAAGCTCCTGATGTACAGTTTTTGTGCCGATGTCAGTTAAGAGTTGTGGCCTCATACTCTTGCCCATATAGTATTTGGTATAACCTGTTAATAGAGCCAAGCCATTGATAGCAAAAGTAAAGTGAGCAGCTTTACAGTAACTGTCAAAAAATGTCAAAAAAATTATTACTAGTGCTCTTTCATAAAGTGATCATGAAGATATCCTTTGGTGTTTTTCAAAACTGATGTTGTTTCATGAAGTTTTTCACAATTTTTTCACTATTTCACCATTTTCATGAAAAACTAAGGTTTTACACTCACAGCATTATTCAGCTTTCTATAGATATGTTACTCAAGACGATAATATTTTTGAATACGAGGACAGAACCACAATGAGTTTTACATCTGGTGGAATTTTCCCATATTCATGATTATATGAGTACGGAGCATCTCATCATCATTCAATTTTACCACTAATTATTACAAAAATGCAGTAATGTACAATAGCTTTGAGCTGATGGACTGATTCATTGGTTATTTGAAAGTTAACCTAAGCATACTTTTTTTAAAGAATGTAGAAGTGTTAGATGCTGTTTACTCAAAACACTTTCTATACAAGTTCATTCATAAATGTTTTAGACAACCTTATGTTATCTATGCCATTAAAACACTGTGTATGTAGATCTATGTTATAGTTAAGTTTAAAGTCTTGTGACATCATTAAGTCTCCCAGTAATTTACATCAGTGTGAATCATGGATCAATCTTCACTATTTTTGTTATTTCTACCAGTTTTTATCCTACTGTGACATGTATTATTGTAAGGTCTTTACCTCACTGTTGTCATCATTTGGCGCTACATAAATAAACTGAATTGAACAGAATGTGAAAATGTTATATTGAAAAAGTCTCTTTTGTACAGTGTTTCAAAATGATATACAATGTTTTATAGTGACATGCAAATCATTTATGCTTATTCATGTTCATAATAATGCAT